GCAAATTTGTTTTCTACCTTGATGTACTTATATTTAGCAAAAATGAAAAAGAGATCACCAACTTGTAGTTAATCTCAAGAAAACGTTCTTTAGATGTAAAAAGTATTGGCTTTTTTGGATATTATTTCTCATGGAGGGATTAGCATGGATCTAAAAAAAGTTAAGTGCATTAAGGGGTAGCCTGTGCCTAAAAGGATAAAGCAACTGCAACAGTTTCTTGGATTTTCGAATTTTTATAGACGCTTCATAAAGAACTATTTTATATTAATTAAACCCCTGACTATTCTCCTTATGAAGGAACGAAAGTTTATATGGACTTTTGAACAAAATGAAGTGTTTCAACTCTTAAAGTCGAAATTTATTCTGCCCCATCCTTCGACACTTTACACAAGAGCTCCCCTTAATTATAGAAACCGCCGCCAGTAATTTTGCATATGGTTGCATACTAAGTCAACTATATGAAGGGACGTCACACCCGGCTTGCTTTCTCTTTAAGCAATTACGTGTGCCCAAATAAATTATCACACCCCTGATAAAGAGTTGCTGGCAATAGCAGAGACTTTTAAAATTTGACGTCACTATCTTTTCCCTTTTGAGCACGTAGAAATTTAAATTATTTTATTCGAAAACAAATACTAAATTTTTGCGGGCAAGCTACCTGGACAGCCGATCTTTGTGATTATAATTTTGAAATAGTATTTAAGTCTGGAATGGAACATCAACCTGCGCCAAGTGTAGAGAAGTCTACTTAACTGTGTAGTGCGGGAAGACCCGCGAGTTGTTCGCCAAGTGCGATAATTGAGACAACATTACCAAGCTGTATATAAAAAGGTAAATTAAATGAAGGATGCGTTTATTGACCAGTTTCTGTCTTTTTTATACCTTTACAAGGGTCGAAATATTTCCATTTATGCTCTGTAAATTTAGACGAACCAAATACTTTGTTTAATTTGTGATCCAATTAATTAGGTCAAATTAAATTTTTTGTGTTGAAATATTAATTTCTGTTTAATTTCTCTATTCTTATGTTATTAGTTCTTTCTCAGGTTTTCGATTGGATTATAACGGATCATTTTTCATGTGGAATTTTAGAGGGTTATTTTGTTTTCTTTGTTTTGGTTTGTTTGTGTTTATATTTTTGTTTATGTATGTGTTTTATGGTTGTGTACTTAATCCTTAATATATTATATAGTATGTTTTTGTAATCTATGTGTATTTTTTTTTTCTATTTGCACTTTGTGTTTTTTGAATTTCTGTTTTTGAATCTTTTGTTTTAAATTCTGCCTTAGGTGTTGTGTATACTGTGTTATTGCGTTAGAAAACCGTACTGCACCGCGGATGTTCAAAGTATTTCTTAAGTCCATCTCGCCATGATCAGCGCATAATTGATCAGCAAAAACATGCCCCGTGACCTTAGGCTGCTATGGTGTACGGACGCTTCTTCCACAACCAGTCCCCCAACAGCATAGACGACTATAGCAAAAAATTATTGCTTCACATGTAAGCGAGGTACTAAGGGCACCCTTAGCTCTTTTAGAAACAGCCCGTGGTGTTATAAGCAACTAAACGCCCGGAAATGGTTATTGGGACTAGTCCTGGAGTCAACTGCGACTTTTGCTGTAAATTGTCATCAGCGTGCAACGCCAAGAAAGTCGAGCTGCTGGAACTATAAAGAGTTTTTAAATATTAGTGAGTAGTCAAAAAAATAAAATGAAAAGCAGAATCTACAGTAGGTTATAATGTATTTTACATGAAACCATTAGAAACCCAAGACTCCATGAATGGTTACCTAACCTTAAATTTAACGAACCAAAAAGTTTATTTGTTATTCCTTTAAAGATAGAAGATAATATTTTTTGTAAAGCAGACAGGAAAGTAATGTAAATTAAACTTGTTTTTCATGAAACATGAAGAACTAGAAGAATATAATAGAACTAAACGAAGAACGACGGGCCACACCCGAATAAAGAGATAAATATATGCGCAGCAATTTTTAGCTAAGCTCTACGCGTGGAGGTCCTTGTTTAAAAGCTAAGTTGTTTACACGGCGTGTTAAATATTGAATAAAAACAAGCTTTCGTTTTGCTAACTTAATTTTAATAACTTGGTTCACTATGCTTATAATAGAAACAATTTTATCAATAAATTCACTTTTTTCTAACGGTTAGAAAGTCCAGCTTTTTGTAGAGCTCTTCTCTTACTAAAACATCGAGTAGTGGTACGACTTGTAATCATTTTATGCTCAACTATCGTTCTTTATAAAAATCTTCCACTTGTGCTTTCCTTGGAATTGAGTCTTTCTAATTATATATTAAAGAAATATTTACACCATTTACGACTGTTTAGTTATAACAATCATTGTAATTGCGCTGCCTTACAGCCTACTAAAGGAAAATGCTGCGAGCTTAACTCACAACTTGGTGGCATAAATGCATATACTTGAAATCTTACCTTACCTGAATGCTACTTATTGTTACAAACTTATTTTATAGTTTGGCACTGCTATAAAAGTCAGTACTCCCTTATTATTAAAGGAATAAACCAAGTTATATTTTTAAATTTAAACGCTCTTCTCCCAAGACTTAATAACTATTGTTTTTTTAGCTTATGCGACTTTTAATAATGTTCCTAACCTAGATTAGAATCCATGACTGCGCCAAAATTAAAATGCTCTTTTTTAACTCTCCACTCTGCTCAGTACTATTTCGAACACTTATAAATATCATAGAAGTCTATACCTACTAGGTTATAACAGTAATATCATTTGAGGGCGTGCTCCACTTAATCTGATCTTTTGCTTACCAATACTTCTTAGAGGAGGCGCTTATAAGTATTTTATAGAAAAAAAGGAGTAAGTATTTTAATAACTGCCATAATTTCATTGTTAGTACATGCCGTGCTTCCTTTAGCAAGCTTACGGCTTTGAGGTTTATCTTTTTATAGACTTCCAATGTGGGCCTAATTAAGTTTTTTAGCAGAGAACTGCATTTGTGTTTGTGTTTAATTTATAAAATATGCTTATCGTATATTAGATGCCCCATTAGACCAGAAAGTGACACCCAGCTTAGGGATAATATAATTATGTATTAAATATTTTAGGTTTAATGAATTATAGATATTAGGAAGGGAAAGAGGAGGTATCCAGAGGTTTAGAAGAGCTGTAGAACCCTAGTAAAAATTGAGTGCTGGCGCTTAAAGGGACTGTTTCGAATGACTTTTCTCTGGTGATACTATTAATTTTTTAAGTAGTACCTTTTATCTAAGCTAGTAGTCAATGAGTAAAATCAGTTGATAAAGATGTTACATTAACAAATAAGTGGTTTACGGCTACTACGGTTTTCTAGCAGCTTGTTACTTGGAAACTATTAATAGTATGGCCATTGGTTTTGTAAAAAAGTTTTATTTTTATAATGACTTGCTTACAAATAAATTAATTGTAAGCTAATAGTTATTCTAGAAGCAAGTATACTTTCCTGTTTTTTGTTTATACAAAAAACGATAGCCCTTTACTCTATTAACGAGACTGATTGCCTGCAACTAGTAAATATGAAAAAAATTCAACATAACTTTTAACCTTTCGTTTTTATGAAAAAGTATGCCTCCAGTATCAGTGCATTTGGTTCATATTATGTTCACAGAGGTCTAAAAATGTTAATTTTCTATTAAAAATGTATTCGTAATGAAAACTTTTTTCCTATCATCTATCAGAGAGAGGCACGCATACTACACGTTAAATCTTACTATTTTTTTTACAGTAGCGCAAATGTTTTCAAATAATTAAGTTATTTCAAAACTTCAAATTTTTTTTATTTTCTCCACATTAAACTAAATTAAAATCTATGATAGGTATTTGTGAAGTAGGCTATACTAATATTACTTCACGGTTATGACGATTAATTTTTGGACCTTGAGTCCTGTAAAAAGTAATTCAGCTATAATGGTATTATGAGTATCTCCAGCAGGGTGCTGGAACTAGTGCGAACGCGCGACATAAAATCCTGTTTGCGCCTCGAACTTACAAAATAGTTAAAATTGTTTAAAAGCAAGAAACTGTACATACGTAAATACTTTATGAAAAGAAATCGAATATAAAAAAAGTTATGGTTACCCATTCCTTAAATACTTGATTGAAAATCCACACTTTAATTACAAAAAAAAAATAACCACGCGAATTGGGGGTTCCATGCGAATAAAGCTACCAGCAGATAAGGCAGAATGTTATGGCCTAAGCTATGATGTTTTGCTCTTCAAAATCTTATAAAAAAAATTCTTTGTAACATGGAAAAATAGCGATGATTCCCATTATATAGGCACTCCAAACTGAAAAAAACCCTAAAAGGTATAAGGAAAGGCCCCTTTTTACAAAATTCTCGTCATCCAACTACAATAAGAAGCTGTGTTTTTATTTACGTGCAGTGTAGTATAAAAAAATACTGGGTTCAACACAGCTTTAAATTTCTATTTTCTAGAAAAATAAAAAAAAAAGGCAACGAGGTAATAACGTAATAAAACTAAATCTTCACCTCTTTATACCCAATTTTGATAATATTTTAAGAATCTTCGAAAGGATTCCCATATAAAATGCTTCGTTAAGAAAAAACATCACCGAGTCACGGAAGAACCCGTAGCCGCTATACGAGGAAGCAAGGATAAATTGTTGTAAAAAAAGCATCACCTAAAGGCCACGTGGTTTTGAAAACATTTGCTTTACTATCACTTGCTAATTCTCTTTTATATACAACTTTAACAGTTTATCAACAAAGTAAATTAACATATTCTAATTTCTTTAATAAAATGTCGCTCAACCCGATATAAGCAAAGAACGAATTATCTAACACTTACAGCACCTTCAACTAATAGCTAATTTGTGTATATATCCTTAGATATTAAAGCTTTATAAGTTTTGTGAAGGGAAGGAGAATTTACGGAAAACTCTGGCTTGTATAAATTTCAAAAAGTTTTACTAAATATTTAATAATAATACAATCTCTTCTATTTATACAATCGATGTCCCCGCACGTTTCACGAATTAATGAAAGACTGGCACTGGTCGCATCGGTTCACATTTTTCAATGATAGACTTATCAACTCCAGGAAGCGGATCACCCAAGGCTACAACTTCCTAAAACACGTAAAAAGTATTATATTAAAAATATAAATATAATATTAATAGTAAAAAAGTCGTACAACATTTTCCAGAGGCAAAGTGCGCTTCAAATAGTCTTTTACAATATTCAAAAACTCATATTCGTCAAAGCACGCTTCCGTGGACAAAACACGTGGCCCCTTTTTCTTGACTTCTTCCTAAAAGAAAAAAAAAACTTTAAAATCTTCTCTAAAATATTAAAAACAAATTAAATACAAAATTCTGCTTGATTATAAATTTCGCTACAATATTAATATAAACTAATCATTTATTTTTACTTTTTGATACGGTTATATAATACATTTTTAATTTAATAATAATTATTGTCCTCTTATTCTTAACTGTGATAAAATAAATTTACTCTCAATAGTGCATAACATTCGATTTTTTATAAAAAGATTTATATATAGTATAATATAATAATAATTTATATATCATACCTTTAAGATGATTAGCACTTTTTTTTTAGTAATAATATTTAGTATTAGTTGTTAGAAATAACCATGTTTTATATGTTGTATTATTAAAAAATCTCTAATTTTTTACTTTCCACATCTCTATATTAAACTGCTAATTAAAACTCATTAATAAACTCAATTTTAAATATTAACATTTATTCTATTTGTTTGAGCTTAAAAGATATTAATGACTATTATATAATATAAAAAATAAACTTTTGAATGTATTAATACAAGCTGTAAGCAATAATTACTTTGTTAATTTTAAAAAAATAATTGCTGAATTATAATATTAAAAAGAAATAAATGAATTTTTATGATATTCACTTTATCAAAAGTAATTCTATACCTGAATTTAACGTGATTATAAATTGTTGTTAAGCAAATTTATAAGAAAAATTGTTAGAGTTATCTTTCCATTGTTTTAATAGATAATTTTAAAGTTTTCTAAAGTTTTATTTAGCAGGTACAAATATTACTTTTGTTTATATTAAAACGAATAAAAGAAATAAAAAACTAAAAATTAAACTATTTTAAGAATAAGGATATACAATTTACAAAGCTTTAGATAATATAGTTATGTCATATAAATTTTTTTCTAAATGTTTTAAAATATTAAAAAAAATAAAATGCATTATAATTATAAATCAGTAACTTGTAACAAAAACCGATCATAATTGTCGCTCTAAAAAAACCAATATTATTGATAGGTTACTTAATTTGGTTTTGTTAAATCGAAATCTAATATTTACCACCATTATACTTCCATAAACATACTTACATTCCGGACGAATGCTAAATACAATCTTCTTAATAATTTGGTAAAGTTTAAAATTTGTAGGCTCAAATAAATAAACAGCTAATAACTTATAAAATAAACTAGTCTCTTTTTCCAATTTATTTCTGGTAGCATTAGCCCATAATATATAACTTCCGACACAAATATTACAATAAATAATGATATAATCAGCCCTATTTTATAATACGGGGAAGCAGATATTACACCAATGCCCAAAGACCTGAGTAAAAGCCACGAGCGGCATCAACTTGGGAAGGAACGGCTTCAGTTCAGAATCACACCTGATCAACTCAAGCATCGCTTTCTTGTTGTTGAAAACTTCAGGGTCCTTATGATTATTATTTTTAAATTAACTTATAACTATTAACGGATGTTAATTTCAGTTAATATTTAATATATATAGTATTTAGTATTTCTTCCTATCCGTACCATTTTGTAGTTATAAACGATATATTTAAAATCAGATATTTCTATTAACAGTAATAATGATTATATATATTTATCAATAGTATATTCATTAATGCATGTTATAAAAGTTTTATAACTAGAATGTAAAATAGTTTAAATAATTATAAAATTTATTAATACAATAGTTATATATTCACTTATGTTATTAATTATTTCATACAAGAATAAATATGCTACCCACTCGTTTATATGTATACACTGCTCACAATATTTATTATTACTTTTTTAATCATATATTTATAATAATGCTAAGTACCTCATGGTAAAGCTTACACATCAAATCAAGAAGTTTTTTTTTTTCATTCTTATACTCTTTTGCAACGTAAATAGTGACTTTCTTAGGAGATATTTTTGTATTGTGTTTCTTCTAAAAAACAATAACATTGAAATCATATTATAATAAAACTGGGGAAAAAAAATATAGACGTTAAGTTTTTATAAAGCAAAAAATAAAACAAATTTACCTTTTGCTCTTGAAGTTCAAGCAGTTTCCCACGAATTTCATTCGCAACATTTTCCAAATGCACTGCAAAAAAGTCATAAAAAAATTTCGACTAATCAAACGTAAAAATAAACGAACCAGTCGCAGTGAATAAATTAATGTCCACCGCTTCCGACGCTGGCCACGTGGTCTACAAAAGTGCTCATCAAGTCACAAAAAGACTGGAAAAAAATAAAATACAGCTAAAACGCTTCCGGGGTGACCAAGAAGCTCCCAACATCTCTCTGACAGGTGCGGACAAAATATGGATAGCATAACAATTTGCGACTCGAGATATTTCCAAATCAGCGCTGCGGAAAATTAAAAATAAATTATAAGGATATTATATATAAAATAAACTTCTCTTAACAATTCTAGAACTCATTAAATAGTAAATAAAAGGCGGTACTCCTACGTTTAATATGTTATAATATACATTTTGCATAAGTAGGATCAGAAAATAGTTAAATTAATAATAGTTATTACTAAAAGTCTAAAACCACAAAAAAATCATAAATGCTTAAGTTAAATAATATAATAAAAAAAATTTTACTTTATTTTGTTTCTGGCGAAAAGAAACATCCTCAACGTACAAGTCACTTACAATTTAAAAACACGTTTTTTTTAAAAAATAGGCGCCGAAATCCACACAAAGTCAAATGCAGCTCTTTGTGTCTTAACCAACCACATACAGCGGAAACACAAGTACATAGTGCTTATTGGTGAATTCCATCAAAAAATTATCTATAAACACCACATGACTATACCAAGTGCCGTAAAAAACATGTGAAAATAGTGTAAAAAATCAAGTGCTTCTAAGTATCTTCTGCTTGTTATGGTACATACATACTTTTATATTATTAAAGTATTATAAAAGTTGTATTTTTAAGACTCAGTACAGCTTAAAAGTAAAAAATATAGCACACGAATAAAGCACGAATAAAAAATGAAAAAACCACGTGCCTCTGTGAAAAGGGATATCGTGCAAAAGTTCTCTGTACAGACTTAAACTATTCTGATATCCAAAAAGGCAATGCTTCAGTGTTTCGTGGTAGAGCATACTTATAAAAAATATATAAAATATAATATTTATAATCATTATCTTATAAACCATCAGTGAAATAAAAAGTGATATACTTTCCGCAAAACTTATCGGCTTCGCGAATATGATAATTCATATAATTATCAAAAAGTTTATCAAAGTAATTGTATTCGTCAGTGCGCATTTTATCAACATTTTTAGCGCTAATCAACTCCTTAAAGTAAAGTTATAGATATGAATGATATAAAAATAAAATGCCTACAAAGATTCGAAATAAAAAATAGTTTATAGTCGTAAAATCTAATGATAATTATAAAGTAAAACCAAATAAATAAGTAAAAATGGCTCAAAAGATCCAATTTACTTGAACGAAACGCTACCAAATAGCAAATAATAATTTATGAGCACTAATACGAGAGCAAACATATTTGTAAATATAAAAAAAGAAATATAAAAATATTATATAGGTAACCAATAACACATATTCTCTTAAAAAAATTATTATAAACTATAAAAACCAATAAAATAAATCATTTAGGTACAGTGAGTTTATATAACCAATCAGACTATGGTAGTTTCTAATAAAAGCCAATAAACACTAAAAAATATCCCCAATGTACTACCAATCAATAAAAAAATGAGTTAAACCAAATAAAAGATAATAAATACATTACAAAACGTTAATATAACTTTTCTATTTAATGTTCGCACTTTTTATTTTGTTAATTATTAATTTCATTTATTATGTTTAAATAATATACATAACTATAGTAAATAGCTGAGTAATACATATCGATATGTAAAGTTCATAAATATATATATATATATATAAAAAATAGATGTGCAGTCTTTTAGAGATGTTTAAAGCATAAAAACCTGGAAGTACTCATAAAAGGCATGAAGTCGGAGAATTAGCTTGGACATAGTAGCATAGTTGATATTCGCGTCTGTTTAGTGGATATCAATATTATTACTACTATTATTGTGGTTGTTTAATGGCACTCATAAAAACACATAATTTCACAGTAAACCAGTATAGATTACAAGTGTGACATCTTTTAGTTTATATGATTACAAATGTTAGTATTGTTTAGTAGCACTCGTAATATATATTTATTTCTTCACAATATATAATTATAAATGATAATTGCTCCGAGGAACATGTAAATACACAAATTAAATATAATTTATAATAACGGTTACTATTTATTATAATTATTGCATTAGTTAAATATTTAATACAATAATTATAAAAATTATGAGAAAAGCATTTTCTACAACTCAATATACAAAAAGTAAAAGATATTTATCTTAACTATACTAAAATTAATATTTAATTAACTAAAAAATTTTCCTATATAATTATTATTTATATATAATTAAAAGTGTTTATTCAAAAACACCGTCGAGCGTGTCGCCGGCGTCTGCAAGGGCCAACCGCGTGGCGTCCGAGCCAAAAGAATTGATAGACTCTTCAAGAGTCAAAAAGTTTCCTTATTGGTAAACGTAAAATAAACACCCAATGAAAAGAAAAATAAACACACTAACCAGTAGATTTAGACATTTTGGCATTATTAAGTTTCAAATGGCCATTGACTCGAATGGCCTTGGGAAAGTACTAACGAAAAAAAACAAGTCGAGTGGTTAATCATAGACTTAAAAATGGTGCAGCAAAAGGGTTGAAACCTTTTGTCCCCACATGGCCTCGTGGGTAAATAAAAAAAAAGATAAATGGTTGTTGATAAGGTCTTTACCGGAAACGCGCAGGCTCACCGGGTACCTTTTTTTTACTCATTATTATTTAATATAAATTTTTTTTGTAATATTCCATAAATATGTTAATTTTAATGTTTTCTTAGACAATAAGTTTTAAGTTTGTATATATAATGAAATTTACTAATAAATATTATTGTAATAAAGACATTCTATTATTATTGATATATTTTTTGAGAATTAAGTTTAAAATATTATTGTTATATTATAATATATAAAATTCTTTTTTTTTAGTATTATAATTTTTTTATTTTTGAGTACTTTTTATTTTATTCACTTTTATAATTGTTTATTATTTTTTCTGCAAATAATAAAAAATTAAAAAAAGTAAAACGTGTAAAAAAACTTTTTTTAAATTTACTTTTAAATAATATTTTATTTATTATAAGTTTTCCAGACATCACTATTAATATTGTATAATTTTTACTTGATGTTATAATGAAACATATATTTTATATACTTTTTATATTTATATTATTATTTTTGACGTTTTGCAATACATTCGATTTTTTGATATTTAAAATTTGCGGCCAGTATCAACAACAATAAAAAATAAAGAAACAAAAACTTCTGCAAACTGCTATACCAGTATTGAAACTCTTGTCGAAGGAGTCGAAGTTTCTCCTCGTGAATATCAGAATCAGTTGGAAGCTAAAAGAGATATAAAAATAATAGAAACATTAATAAATAAATATATAATACCGGTCCTTCCAGGAATATATAATCCCAAGTGCCTTTGGTGAGCTGGTCAGGACGTACACCAATAGGAGAAGGTTTCGAGCCATCGATGTTATCCTCGCCTATTGTAGTTGCTATGGCAACTTGTTTAAGAAAACCAATTAAAATAACACCTTGAAGCAAATGAGCAATCGTGTAATAGGCCATATATATTGTCGAATCAGAAAGCGACTCCACAAGGAACTGTTCATCCCAAGGAATTCTGGTGCCCAAACCGTAGGAACGTGAGCACGCCCACTGCACACAACCCCCAACAATTAAAGAAGGCAAGGAATGTATGTAATATAATGAACTTCGTGCAAATTACTGATTTGCTGCTTGAACTGCGCTAGCGTATCAGACTCATAACAGCGGACGTTTTCTAGGAGTGATAAGACCCGCTCGGTCCAAAGAGCATTCCGATAGTCAACATACCTTATATAATAAAAAAATGATGAAATGCCTATAAAAGATATATAAGTATACCATTGGTCTACCAGTGCCACTACACACGTATCACCTGAACGGGATATGATTGGTTCAGAGGGCTCCGCGTAGGAAAAGGCATAACCTACTCGAAAAGTATAATCGAGTCAATAAAAATTAAAATAAAATTAACACTATAATAATTTCTCAAACTTTACCTTTAGTGTTATTATATCCATCCAAATAATAACATGAAAACGATAGAGTAATAATAGTGATGTATATAATTCTTTATAAGTATATTATAGTATCATATTATCGGGTTCTAATATAACAAAAATAGCAAAATAAAATATTAAGACATACTAGAAGAGTACGCTATGATATATAAGAACTACATAACATAGAAAAATAAAATAAAATGTGTAGATAACTAGAATTATCTGTTTCATTTGTACTTAATTTCTTTAGATTCATAAAATGTTACAGAAATAATAGAAATGACCAATAAAGTAAATATTCAGTTTTTTAATATTGAAAACTTTCCTAAACCATAGTTATTTATGAATATTTCTTCATATATAATAAGAAAATATAAAGAAGAAAATAATATATTACTATAACATGTTTAATTTTATCGTAACTTCTATATTAGATATTTTCTGATGCTTAATATATAGTACGTAATTTGAACTATTATTCTCTTAGTATTTCGTTAACTCCCATAAAAAAATAATTGTTAAATTATAATTATATACAAAACATCATTGCAATTTTAGTGTTGTCTTCACATATAACATGGAAATGTAAATTAGTGTAAGTTTAAATTTCTCAGCATTTTATTATAATAAAAATATATTTATATTTATTCATGGCCTACTATTATTCAATTCCTAAAAATATAAAAATAATCTATAAGTGTTAATAATAGATATAATGTTTTCATATAATACATTTTATGCTTTTCATCGTTTTCTTAATGCTTATTTAACATATATAAATAAGAATTATAATAAAGTAAACCATGTTCAAAGAGAAAAGTTTTGATTTTGGGTTTGGCTTCTTGAACAGGTCGACCAGAATATTCGCCTAAGGTATAATTAAAATAATCCACAATATAAAAAAGAAAAAAGAATAAATATTGCCTATTTTAAAAATAATACTATAAATTAATAAAAACTAGAGTAATATATAGAAATTAGCTATAAAGTTTTTTATTAATAATATTAATAATAAATAATGTAAAAAATAAATAATAACTATGATATAAATATGTATAACTTATCGATTGTTTTACCCTTAACCCCACCCTTTAAAAAAAATATTACGAAGAAAAAAAAACAAATAGCTAATATTTAAAATTAATAACATAAACCAAAACATAGTATAAAAAGGTGTTAAAGATAACAAAACATAATAAATGAAAATATTAATAATAATAGATTTTATAAATAACGTATCATATAAATACGAAATATTACAATTAATAAAAAAATATTTCAAAAAAAAATAATAAACTATATAAAAGGAAGAAAATATTAAATATTAACCTAACCACAAATAAATAATAGTAATAATACATAATATATAGTGTACCAACGAGCAGCACGCCTTCATAAAAGCCTTTAACATACACGTGCTTCTTGCACTCGGCCAGTTTCGCCTGGTCGTTGGGGCCGCCAACCTTTGTAAAAAATTATTGATAAGGAGCCCTCAATACTAATATTTGTACAGTTTTTAATAACGTGGGTAAAAAAAACTCCTTTATTATACTTTATATGATTTTTTAATAGAAGTTTCTATTGTTATTATTATGGTATTCTTATTACTTTATACTTTTGGCAAACGGTAACGGCTGGGAGGTTACCGAGCCCTTCAGTTTTTATTATAGGAACGGGGTCAAAGGGAAGAATCATTGAATCGTGAATATTCCACTTCGATCTAAATAATAATTGTAATAATATAGAAACAGTTTCTTATATAACATAAACTACATCAATAAAAAAACTTCTCATAATAATTTCATAGCAAACACAGTTGATTACTTTATTAACATTAGTATTAATATTATTAATATCCCTATTAAAAAAACCTCCACTCCGGCTTCTGCTTCAAAGTAATAAAGTTGATATAATCATCTGGAGAATCCGAAGGGACCGATATAACAATTCCAGTTCCCTTTAAAAAAGGATGTAGTAATAATTATAAAAGTGACCAAATGATAACCATTGTGCCTATTATAGTTAGCATCGGTAGAGTGTATATCCTTTCATAACAGCTAAGAGGTGCTTTCACAGGTAAGCCCAAAAGTTCTCTTCCAGATATAATGGCCAACTCTTTTATTTTACTTTAATATCTTTTAATGGTTATAATAATAATAAGTAGGAAAAAAAAGGGACCCAAAGCCAGAGGAAGTCTCTAACTGATGCGCTAAATTTCTGCTACAGTGACGGGTACATATGAAAACTTCATTTTTACTATTAATATTGAATAAAAAAATTGAAACAAGAAACGTGAGCAAGTCACTAAAACAAATGAAAAATTAAAATATGAGCTGATCGGATCAAATAGAATCGGGTCCCTGACCTGACTTCGTAGCAACCGTAGTCAATTTCGGGATGGACAAAGCAGTTTGTGATGCCGTACAGCGTCTCTGGTCTTAAGGTGGCTGCAATAAAGTAAACTCTCGGCCCTAAAAGAAAGTTACTTTGTCGTAAATATAATCATAAAGAACACAAGTACCATTAATAAATGAAAGGGGCGCAGGGAGTTTTAGGGCTTCTAGTTTAACACACGTGTACTCGGTAATCTCAACACCTGATAGGAGGAATAAATGTAGAAAAGAGAACCATTAATAATAATAAACAAGTAAAATAATGAAAGCAGAAACCGAGAAACTTGATAAAAAAGGAGTTCCAACCTTCACCGGAAGACCTGTCATGGTCCATACAGGGCTGCCGGTCGAGCGGGGAGTACACGGTGGGGCGCTTCCCAAAAAGGATATATCCGCGCTCCTTCAGAGTAATCATCTGCCTTTTTTTTTTAAAAAAAAAAAAAATATTAAACAGCATTAAAGTATTAATCATTAATCTGCAACTTATATTAATTAGTATAATAGTTTAGCAAAATATAATTATATTATGTATAATTAAGTAATATATCCACTTAACAAAAATGTGTTGGTCTCTTTAATTTTATATATATTATAAACTATATTAAATTTGTATTATAAATGACTTATACCCATACACCCAATGATATACACTATTATAATATTTTCTAAATATTATATTTGAAAAAATTCAAAAACCCTTTTTATTTTAGTATGGTATTATAATACTTTTATTCATATTTGATAAACTACTTATTTATAATATGTTATCACAATTTACATAGTATTATATTATCAAAAATGACATGTATCGAACAGCTTTTACTCACTACTAATTTTATCATAATACCCAAAACTGTTCCTTTTAACAAATATAATATTTTTTCACTATAAATATTATAATACTCTAAATATGATAATTCGTATTTATCACTACTATTCGCTATTAGTAGTGTTAGTTATTAAATAATTTTCATGTTGACAAGAAAATTACTATAAACAATTGTAAATAAAAATCAAGTTCACCAGTAATTATGATTAATGTAACGCAACATTCATACCATGTGTTATTATTTCCTTATAATTATTAACACAAAATATTAATATTTTATAATTATTTAGAGTTAACTTTGATCATTATTGGTATAAAACATAAATTATTATTTAAATTTATGTGAGAGATAAGTACTATATATAAACAATATGAAAAAAATAATCATTCCTCATTTTTCTTGAAAGTTAATGTATAATATTATCAACATCAGTCATTATTTATTAATATTGATATTTACTATTACTTTATTTTAATATTTTTCATTTCTAGTACCACAAATATTTATAATATTTACTCATCATAATAAATATTACCATCGAACGAATGAATCATAATAGGGATTAGCAGGCGTCGTAATAAATGTGCGCCGCCAATCAACGCTTAATCCAAACTTCTTTAAATCTTTCTATTAAAAAGTTTACATAAACATTCAAAATTTTCAAAGCGAGGATTCATAAATTAATAAATAACAAAAATATAAAGTTAATTAGATAAATGCACCACGGCGAGCGGAGAAAAAAAGTACAGCCAATGGAGGGGATCGCTGAAGGCCGCAATTTCCTGAAAAATAGTCAACCAAGGGGGCAAAAGTTAATGAAAAATTATGGATTGCAATTATCAAATTTTTCGTAAATGATACCAAAAGAAAAAATTTAAAAAGCTATAGGTTAATAATTTCCGTATAAAACAGCGTTATAAATTTTAAATATCCAATAAAAGGCTAAGTTATTTATATTTTCTATTTTTAAATAGGTATTATTAGTTTTCTAATAAAAATTTACAATAAAGCTAGAAGTACACTTCATTATCATTTTGTAGTTTCTTTATTTTTACACTTCAATAATAATAATAGCAAAAAAAATATTTATAAATAATAGTCAAAGTTTGATATATTTCCTTATTTTCCAGAATACAGTTTTCAAATTACTTTATAAACGTCTTTTATGTTTAAAAAGAAATAAAAAAGCATAAAAAGCATTGTAATAATAAGAGTATAGTCGAAGTTTTCATTTTCTCATATAATTAACGTGTTTTTATAATAAAAGTAGAAAATAATTATAACTTCTCTTTAAAATTAGTACCTAAAATTAATAAGTTGTTCACTCTACGGTTTTTTTATAACCTAAATTTTTAATATTTAAATAAAAATAGTACACCTCTCTCTTTCCTCTTTCCCCCTCCCCCCCCTTTCCTTGCAAAAAAAAAAAAAAGTTCCACGCATGCGAACGTCTTTGGGGCCCGACTGTATAAAAAAGACCAAAAAAAATTGGGGGGAGAAAGAAGAAAGAAGGGGGAGCCCGTTAGGTGCACAATATATTCAAATTTAATAAGCTATTTCTCTAGTTGCTTATTAAACAATTTTATCATTAATAGTTTTCTAGATTTGCACATATAAGGGTAAAAATGGGTATAATGCTATAAATATAAAGTACAAGTCAAATAGAAAATAAATAACACCTTCGGTCGAGACCTTTTAAATAATTATTATTAGTCTTTTATAATACTTCATAATATTATTAAAGTTTTTAAAATTAATAATAATCACGTTAGAGTTGCAGCATTCATGTATTTTCATATATCTTTCTCCCTTTCATATTATTATACCATTAAAAGTTCTAATTATACTACATAAATAATAAAGTTGTGTTAAGTTTATTTATTAATTTTTTTTTTTAATTTCCCTTATAAATTTTTGACATAGTTAATTTTTCAGATTTTTATTACATAAAGGAAGATGATACTGTCATACGTAGTATAGCAGTAAAAAAAAAAACAAGTCAACGAATATACATGTTTTTATTTTTTTTTTCAGTTTTCATATTATTTCTATATATTAATAAAAAAGATGGAAATATATGTAAATTTTTATAAAATAACTATGAACTTGGATTTCCATTCTCATAATCACTTTTTAAATTATTAATAATTAACTATTTATCAGTAATATATAATAAAGATACAAATAAAAGTCACCGTCTATTAAATATTGTCTTTAGGAAATATATTGTAATAAATATTCTTTAATTTTCTATATATACTATTTACTTTTTTTTTTGTCCACCTGCGAATTGCTGATACAATAAACTATAATCAGTATATCATGTTATTATTAAATCGCTATATAGCACTAATAAAATGGAAGTATATTTTCACTTCGCCTTTTAAAAATTAAAAAACAATATAGATTTTTATATAATTTCAATCATAAAGTTATGCAACATAGGAGGTACTTACTTTATCGTAATAAAAATTTCCTATAAAAAGTTACGTTATTTATAAAATTTAACAAAAACGTTAAAGTGTGTTAAAACTAAATATAAATGTATATAAAGTTTAAGGATTCCTTTAATATTAAAAAAAAACTTTTATTAAAAATTGTAGGGCTGTGAATGTTATAGTTAACAATAATATAAATTTAGAAGTTCTTCTTAATAAGAAAGTATTCAAAACAAAATTAATATGAACTTTTACTCATTAATATTTAGCTTTGTATTTCTGTGTAACTATTTATACAATAAATATAGAAAAAGTGCAACAAATAATATTCTAATACATAAACGGATGAACATATTAAAAAGACCAAATAAACTTTAAAAAGGTTAAAACTTTACCCCATCGGACAGTCCCAAAGACTTCATAATTTCCCATTGAAACTTACTTTTTCCTGCTTTTGCCGCAACTTTGCTGGGTTTGTTCTTCTTTAAAAAAGATTCCTTCAATACAAAGTTCATGACACCAAAATTAAAAAACTTAATAAAATATATTACTAAACTTGATATGTTATTTACTTGAATCAACTTTGGTGATATGGAAGTATTAGTATAAATAAAAACGTATAAATACATAATTTGATATAAAAATCTCAATCAAAAATTAAATTATAAAAAATAGAAAAAGCAAGCCAAGAAAATAAAGCTGTTATGAAAATTTTGAACCAATATAAATTAATTAAAACCTTTTTAGATATGTCATGCACTGAAATTTTCAGTTCGTCCAAAGTATCTATATTAAACTGGGGAGGATTTCCGTAGTTTTCCAATTCCAACTTGATCTGTATTTAGTCATGAATAAGCTTAACATAGTTATAGAAAATCAAATTAAACATAAAAAAACTTTATCAGCGGATGTTTTTATAGGCATCCCGGTACAATGTAGTCCAAAAGGAAAAAGTACGTTTTTACCTGCAAAAATACTAAAATGGTAATTTTATAGTACTTTCACGTTTCGAAACCTTTTAAACGTTCGTATTTAGCTGCAAAATCAGCCTTACAAAGAGTAAACGCATGTCCTAAGTGAAGTCTAAGATAAAATTTAAATAAAAAACTTTTATAAAATATAAACAACTAACTACCTTCCATTCATGTACGGGTACGGAAATGTAACGAAAAAAGTTTCCTGAGAAGTATTAGAAGCAGAAGGCAAAGTAGATTCAAATATTTTATTTTCCTTCCATTTTTTCTGAGCGGATTCCTCTAAACTACGTAAAATATCACGCCTAGGAAAACGTCCTAAACACGTAACGTATATAAGGTTTTAATAGTTAAAATAATAATATAAAAGGTAAGTAAAAACCATTGGGATCCAGTATTTCTAAAGAACTGACAGACATTTTTCCCCTTATTATAATTGTACTAAAATTAGTAGTATAACAAATATCAGCTATGAATCTTCTTGAGAGATGTATCTATTAATTATAAATAATGTAGATATATTTAACAAAGTTCAAGAACAAATAAGCTTTAAATCGTTTATAAATGAAAATTCACTACCAAAAACATAAATCGCCAATTAAAAAAGTAACCTCTCTTTTCAACTAGGAATGAGCCGTCACGTGTTAGAGCACGATTTCAATAAAATAGAATAAATGTTACTAAAAGCTATTAGAATAAATGAGGGCGGAGTTACATACGCAACCATAAATGCCTGAAAAAAGGGGCTCGAATCCACACTTGAAGGGCGCGCATCACTGCTACGACAGCGACCTTAACCTGTTCAATTTCATAGTAAGGTCTTAGAAATGATGATTGCAGTTCCACTCTCGGCTCGTGTGGTATGTTTTTTAGGTCTTGGTAGTTATCGGTTGTAAAAAGACTAATATTAATATCTAATAAAACTTTTTACTCCATCACTATTGGCCTCTCGAGCAATAATTGTTGAGGGGCGAAAGAAGTTTTAAGTGAACTTTGTTTCTAAGCATCTGTTGCAGAAATTTTAGGCAAAAGTTGCATGCGCCCACCGTGTCCTAATAGGCCGGCACCTCTAAACGTAGGGCTACAAAGATTTATCGCGTTGGTTTGTAACTTTTGTAAATGAAAAATTAATTCATTTCTTATTAACAGTTGAGGTATAGCCATATACTATTTAAATTAAAAAATACAGTTAATTAGCTTGTAGTAACACCTCAACTTATATACATCTTTATGCACTTAAAAAAGAGTTGCATAGAAAATCTGATACCTTAAATCAAATTTGCTTGACCACAAGTTCAATATTCTTCCTTGATCCTGGCCCTGTAAGATTATTTTTGCTGTTTTACTTTTGTCTGTTGTCTTTCTTTATAAAGTTATGTCTTATGCGCCACCTAAAATTCTCTGAGAAATTGCTTAAATGTAATTTGTGGGGTCTTTAATAACTCTCCTTCTTTTTCTGTAAATTTTTTTCTTAGTTAAAAGTGTTTATGCCCTTTCGTAATTCTTTAAGTATCGTTGTTTAGGTGTTATATAGTTTCAGATTTTAAGGACTTGGTGCACATTTCGTTCAGTTTATAATTTCTTTTTGAAAATAAATGCCTTGTCTAGTTACCTCCCATAAAGGGACAGTGACGAGTAATTCAACATTTAAAGATCACGGGTAAGATAGAACCTGTCGAAGATCTATTGTCTGCTCGAGTTTTTACTAGTCGTGCGTCAAAGGTATGCTCCACTTTTATGCTGCGCTTGACTATAAAGTGTTCTTGTGTTATGTAAAAGTTATACTTAATTGTTTGCAGGAAAGAGTCTGTGTATTTCCCATCTCTACTTTTTTGCTAAGTATTGCTTCGTTCGTCTAGTTTTGCTATTAATATTAAGTTACTTTTGGCTCATGGCTTACCACCATAGAGTTTGTCTGTTTTTTTTATTTAAATTCTGCTATTAAACGTTTATTATTAACGTAGTGTGGGTATGCGGATTGTATATTTCCCTAGATTTTACCTTTTAATTCATCATTCGTTAAAGAGTCCTTATAAGAGTTGCATAGTTTGTTACTTACAAGTTTACATTACGTTGTTATGCAGAATGTGCTTATTGTTTATGTTTAGGCATTCCGTGTTCAGTGTGGTTCAGCTTTTCTGAAGTTTGTACTTGTAACGTGGCAACGTTTGCCGTGCTATCTAGCCTTTGGTTACCTTTTTGTGTATGTTGTATAATTGTTATTTTTAAACTTCTAACGTTATTACTTTCACGTGTTAGTAGTCTATTTGTATATTGTCGTTTATACGTTATTATTTGCTATTCGTTATCTTTGCAAGAGCTTAAAGAATAGATAATTGCATATGGCCTGCTAATGAAGTTAATTGTCTTTGCATAGTTGCATCATATATTCAACGGACTTGCTAATCTCAGTTCTTATAGTTTCGAGCAAACTCTTAAAGGAATTTGCTCGAAGGCGTGGTTTCTTGTTTGCATAACAGTTTTAGAGGCTCATTACAGAGATCAACCTTTATGTATTGCATGATGGTATTTATATTATTTTATATATTTTGAAGGTCTTCTGTTGTTTTGCGATGTAATTTTAGAGACCAGAATTTTATTTATCTAGGTATGTGCATCTTATTAGAGTTGGTCTTGTTTCGGTAAAGTTTATTTTTGAGTGTCACATAAGCTTTGGTATTAGGTAGACTACCATGTTCATTCAACTTTATTTGCTTATATTACACACAACTAAAATTAAAATAAAGTTGTGTTATATGCACTTTTCTTGTTGTCGGATTTAAAGTTCGTCTCAAAATAAAAGTTTACTGCTAAGTAAGTTTATGGATTCGGATCTTAGAGCTTGACCAAGATCATAAATTTACTAAAACTTTAATAGTTAGAATAGGCTAACTCGCCCCACACGATTAAAAGCTTTTTCAAGGCCGAGAAAGAAGACCCCCGTGGTTTCCTATTTTAACATCCGAGTTATTCCACTCTGCACAGCGCACAATTAATCGTAATGCCGAGTGGTCTCCTCGATTTTAAATTAGGTTACCGGAAGCGCTTCATGTTTTTCTGCAAATGAATACGAACTGCCTCTACAGCTTTATCTACTGCTAAAATCAGTCTAAAAGGACTGGGATCTGGCGAAGCGCACGGGGTCTTGGGTAGCATTGCAACAGTATTGGGAGGGAGCCAAGCGACATGCGAAACAGGAAAGGTGGTCACCCGCATTGCAACTTATTAAGTATTTCATTAGTAATGCCATTGAGGTCAAGTGCTTACCACTGCGTTGTCACCAGCTGCACTCGATTTGAGAAGTGCATTTTAGATATACGCGGATATGCTGTTAGTACCCATTTACATAATGGTGGATTCAAAATGGTTGTGGTTTACTTCGTGTGTGCTAAACGTTGTTAAAATTCAAAGCAGCTCTATTATTGGTGTGTATACTAAAAGAGCGACAGTTTTTGAGCCGCGTGCTGGTAATCATATCATAGACAGTATAACTTGTGAGAAATGCGTACATTGCTTATTTAGATCGTTCGCAAAATGCGTTGTGTTGTCTACTAGGCTTATTAGTCTTCATGAGCCTCTCGTTGGAGTAGGTGAATATCTGAAGTCTCAGAAAACCTCTGGCAGTTGGGCGAGTCTTATAGGTAATCCTTTCTATCGTGCATTCTGCATGTTGTGGCTATCATTTTCGCTAGTGTTCTTTTATTAGATTCTTATAGTGCTGCATCCGTGTACCCCTCATTTTTTTGCGATGTAACATTGTTAAGTGCTGCTTTTTTAGTTAAACTTTTGGCTTTTTGCTTTCTAAAACTGCTGTTAGCTTTGGCGTTTGTTTTGTATCCTTTAGTGGATTGCAGATATCCTGACTACTTTGCTGTGTGGACTAGTCGGGGAGATATTCATAGCATTTGTATTTTTAGCTGAACTTCACACGCTTTTTTATCTAAATTGTATTGATATGTTGCTCTTGCGTATGAATTTCTTTTGTTCCGTTTTTAAATTTTTTTGAAGATTTATTGCCTTAAAGTCTGAGCATTATTCATTATGCAAGGAATGTACTCGACTTTGCTATATATAATTTTAAAAATTCGCTTAACCTTTCTACAAAGAATTTGCTCAAAGACTACATGATGACATACTAAGAAATAAAAGAATGCATGTTTTATTTTAAAATTTTTTTTTGATTGTACAGTTACCAGTTTGATTATAAAACAAACTTAAGCAGCTTATCCAAAAAAAGCAATATTGATGCTAATAAGAGATGCAAACACCCTTTCCTTTCTCCATAGAGGACAATGAAATATATACGGAATATTAATACTTTAATAGGCTTTATAAAAAAACACGGGGATTGTACAAGACTCGATATTGCATATATACAATCACATTATCTGGAAGATCCATGCATAACAGCAATTTAAATAAATCTAATGATGATAGAACGAATTAACTGCATACTCCACGAAACAAAAAATATTAATATAAGTATTAAGCGTTACGAAAGAGAAAACCAGGATATACTGATAGTGGCCTCGTGGCAAATAATTAGGTCTTTCGCACCACCATGGGGCACATGATATTAATTAAGGGGGACCTTGTACCCTGCAAAATACAGAAGTCATCATGCAAAGCTGAATATATGTCAATAAGCATGGCAACGATATACTTAATATACGTGCAAAAAACTGAAAATCTTTATGATTTATTACTTAAAAAAAGAACAATTTCACATAGATAACGAAGCAGTAAAAAAACTCAGCAGAAGCGATGCATCCGGTTAAAGAATTCGATATGTAGTATATCATCCCCGTATTAAACAGGAATTACAAAGGGACAACTATGAAACATGTAACCTCAGTAAAAATTTTAAAAACTATTTTACTTTATTACTTGTTAGACAAAAACACAAAAATCTACACTAAAATTATATAAATTTGCATTACTTTAACATAAATTTGTAGTAAAAAAAACTTGTTGAACAAATATGAAACAAAAAGTACAATAACACTAAACAGTCACATCAAACACCAGAACGCATAAAACAAACAAAATTTACCTACTATAAAAAGAAATGATCCAAAAGTAAATCACTAGAAACAAATTACAGAAAACCAACTAAAAAAATTTTCACACCCACTAAAATGGATACGAATTTATACTTTGGGTAGGAGCAGGTTATTTTACAACGATGGAATATTTTAACTTTTGTAGTGTTTTAGTAAAGATAAATAGAGCACACGTGCGCACGTAATATCAATAATATTATAATGAAATGAGTGTTGGCACCGCTTGCTTGGTATGACTCTGAAGGTAAGAGTGTGGGCCGCTGTCCCAACTGTACTCAGTTTATCTAAGGTTTAATTTATACCGCATGTGAAGCGTTATATATATTCATAATTTATTTGTTATTTATTTGTATACATATACATCTTTATATATATTTGGTATTAAAAAATTCTGATGCACTCCTATTTTTTAAAATAAGGGCAGCTTTATCTCTAAGCAATTCTATTTACCAGGCAATGAAATTGCTATTTTTTTTTCTATCTCGTGACCTCTTTTATTAACATATTAAACAAATATCCGTTTATCATTAAAAGAGAATAAAATTTTAGTATTACTTAAATTTGCTACATAAGCTTAAAAAAGTTTTTTTCAAGTACCACTTCTTTAAAACTGGAAAGCTAAAACTTAAAAACACATTTAAGGTAACTATTATGTTTAATATATTCAATAACCGTAAAATACTTGAGCTATCATGCGTGATGGGAAAAGAGGCAGAATTTCATTCTTGTATTAACACAAACAAAAGTTTATATCTTACAGTAAAGTACGTAACATTTTTATCTATATGTTTTAAAAACAAGCAGAAATATGTATTTACATGCTAGAATTTGACTACCAACAAAATATGTGATGAAGGCAAGCTATTCGTTTTGAATGTTCCAAGGCTGTCGGCACATTGGACAAGACTGGTTCGTAGGGTGCGAGGGATCTTCATCAACCCAACGCAAAATGCAGTGCAAGTGAAAACAGTGGCTACAGTCACCCCAGACTGTATTTAAATAAAATTAATATAAAGCTAAACTAAAGTATCGGAAAAAAATAATTTATTGAGGCAGAAAGTTTTTCGTTATCTTAAAAAAAAATTTCTAATTTATTGTAAAAAATAGTAGTATTAATGTTTAACAAATAAAGTGGCTAAGAATATTACTGTCAGAATTAATCTTAAATAAATTATTGTATTCTATCATAACATTTTTAACAAAATAACTACTTAAGAATTAAATATAGTAATAATCAACGTTTAATAAAACTTATTAAAAAAAAAATTACAAATATTACTAATTGCTAAGAGTTTTTTGGGCCTCAGTTTAAGTTACTGGATAACATATACAAAAAGCATTTGTTTAAAAAAAAAAGATAAGGAGTAAATTTAAACCTAAAGGACAGCCATCACCAGGCTTTTTACATCCGGAACAACAGTAATCATACTTATTTTGACAGATACTACAAGTGTCCTCGCCTTCAACCTTCCAAGTCCAGGCAGCTACAGCATTCCATTCTTTTTATGGTATTTTTTATTATTAAAGATACGTGCCACTTTTTAAAAAAAAATATAAACTTTTTAAACCAATTTTTTTTATATATAAAGTAAAACTTTATAGGGTTTAAAAATCTAGCTATTATCTTTGTGTACAAAATTTTTACAATAGTAGATAATACTTTTTATATGGACTTTCATGAGTACATCTAAAGGCAGTTTGACAGCAAGATAGATCTAAACCCAGTAATATTGTAAGCGACCCAATTGCTAATACAACTGGAAGCTAAGCTTTAAAACTTTTGCGAAAGCCACAGATTATTAAGTACCCAAAAGTAAAGGCCTGCTAATTGGAATGTCTTTTAGTGTACCCCTTTCCCTTTGCTAAAAAATGCTTAGTTTCTACCACGCTGATATTGGATGGTGATATAAAATAATAATTGAAATGCGTAAGACTAAAAGTTTCGTGGATTTTATCAACGACAAAAAATAAATTTCCCGAGAGGTAGCACAGCATATTAGAGGACAATAAGATAATTTTTACACTTTTGAAGAAGTCAAAATATTCGCCCCTCTGCCCTTTCACAAGGTTTACTATCCTTGGCCATCCCTTGCATTACCCCATAGTAACCAAAAAATAGTAATTTAGATAATATTTAAAAAATGTGGTGATGATAATAAAAGTTTTTAGAATAATTCCTCTCTTTTTTAACTCTATCTCACGTTTAATAATTTTATTTTAATAATATATTGAGCCTAATTTTAAATTTCTGCACACAAAATTTGTATTAAAATTTAATCTTTTTGGGTTTGATTTATATAATTTTATCTGTTTAAAAGGTTTACAGTTACTTTTGGTCTTCTAGACTATGGTATTAGTAATTTTGAAGCTCGCATATAGTCAACGCAAAAGCGATAACGGCAAACGCCCAAGAAAGAAAAAATTCTCGTTTTTCATTATCAAGCCTATTTTAACATATATAACAATGCTCTAGAGATCTTTATATACACTCATAAATATTAATTTCTAAATTTTTTTAAACTTTGGGGCCTAAAGTTTCATCAGTACTTTTAATTAGTTAAATTGCTATATGCCAATGAGGAAACCTCTAAACAAGATAATTAAGTGGTTCAAATAACCCTTGTAATGCTATAATTTTATTAAAATAAGACATTGATGAAACATAATATTTTATTAAAATGATTGTTAAAAGCTAAGTAACATATTTTAAAATATAAAATTCCATCCTAATAAATCCCGTATATTATATTTATAATAAAGTTGCAGTTAGATAGATGGATCAACTTAAAATAAGTTTTAGTAATGTATCAAGTGTTGTTAAAAATCTGTTTTAAAGGTCCATGAATTTAAAAAAAGATATGCGGACTGGTGGAGGGAGTGCAAACCTTGAGCCTGCCTGTTAGACCATACCTAAATTAATGGCCCCCCCTCTTGGGAAAGCTAACAGTTTATTGGTATATAAATCCTAAGCCATCGTCATTAGCTCAATCAAAATGGTTTTGACTAATCAAAACTTGGCTCTACATATTAAACCTGGCAATATGCTGATGCGCTTAAAAATAAAATTTTAATATTACCTAAGAATATTGTCTAAGTTTTTTCGGAAACAGTGAAGATACAAGCTAATATCAAACTAGGAGGAGTTTTTTTATATATTATGACCATAATAGATTCACTTTTACGTTTTCTTGTTTTTTTTTTTGTTTTGACTATTAAAGATATTGTAAAGATATAAAAAAGTGACGTGGCACTTTGGATGTACTGATTTTAGCAAAGGATATGCAGACCTTGCATTGTTTAAATGTCTATAATCGTGTTGTAATTTGTGGGTGTAAGGTAAGACCACGGAATTATAAAAAACCGAAGAGGGTAGCGTTGCGCGTCAATACTCACAATCGCTGTGGTACAAGGACAATTTAAAATCTCAGTGCGACCGTTCTACGTATGTAACCTGTTAGATTCTATTGACAAAATGCTTGTAATTTTTTAAAAGATAATGCTTTTAAGTTTATATGTATAATTGTTTTTGCCAAAAAAAATGCCGTTCTTTTAAATATAAGATCTAACATGAAGCTCGACGGCATAAAATTATAAACCTTTTGTTAACTTAAGTAGTTGTAAATAACAAAAAAAAAGATGTAAGTGTATATAGTGGTTAGGTTGCCTTGAAATTATCCTTATTTTTGCCCATCCACCATACAAGGTAATTTAACGTGGTTTTTTAAATATTTATTAAACTTTAGCAAACCGAAAGTGAGGCACTTTTTTAAACTGAAAAGAAACTTGAAATTTTATAATTTTTTTATGTTTTTACAATATTAATAGTTTTTGATAAAGTGATGGAAGTATCTTGAGCTGTTGAAACCGCAAAATAAGAAAAGATATTATTTTTAATAAAACTTGAAAGCTATTGTTGGTTGTCTTTTTAAGTCGGAGGTCCCCATTTATCATAAAGATAAATTCGATTAGGCAGTCAAGGGTTAATTTAAACCTTTTTAGTAGAATTTATTATGACAGCAAAAAAATAAAAAATGAAAAATCATGTTACACATTTTATATTGACGGAAAAAGACTTAAATTGTTATGAGAAACCTCGTAAGTAAAAAATAAAAACTTATAAAAAAAAATTCTTCTTACAAAAAAGGCACTGATTTATTATTTTAATTACCGTAAACTATGAAAGTTAACTGTAAGTATTTAATAAATAATTTCTATTAGACATTAATATAAAGTATACATGTACTAATGTTTTCTGAGAGAATGTAATATATAACTTACAAGGCCCAAGGTAGATAAAATTGAACGAAGGGGTTCGTATTTTAATTTGTATAGAAATGATCACTCCGGTAGGATTTACCTGTTACTATTAACAAGTGTCAAGTGTGAATAAAATTTGTATACAAATGCCACCACCACCACCCCCCCCCCCCACCTTAGAGGTCCTCACTGTCTCCTCACTAAATGGTTTGTGGTCGTGGATTTAAAGTTATAAAGTAATAACACTACCTTGTAGTAGAGACAACTACTCCAAAAAGAACACAAAATAAGGTAGCTTTGCTCTTTTACTGCAACTAATTTGTACGAGCCCTGTGTTGGTCAAAAGCTGATCTAAATATTGTTGTAATAACAAAAGTTTTCGCTCTGTATACATCGTGAAGTATAAAGACAACATACCATAGAAAATGAAGTAGCATGCACAGCATAGTTTATCTTGGGTTTTCTAGTTGTTGGAAGCAAGAGATAGATTATTTCTTCGTTTATTTTGCAAAATTAGATCAAAATTATTTCTGTAAAAAAGATTTTATACTAAATGTTTACGCTGTTAAAATAATTGTTTCTTATATTCTGCAAGCTTACAAACAACCTAGCGATTAGAGAACTTTCCTAACAATAAAAATTTCAAAAGTTATACCAGTCTTAGTATTTTATGTGCACTTTGCAGTTCCGTTCCTTTCGGCACTATAACGCATTAAGTGCTTAAATTTTTCAAGCGCCTGAACTTTAAATAATTTTCCGTTATTTTGAGAGAAATATAAGTATATCCTATATTTCTGAAGACCTGCATTAAAATATGTTGGTCTTTTTAAAAGAGAATTTAAGGGTGCAGCTATTATTTAATAACTATTTTATCTTTTGCTGAACTTCTCCTTACTTTTACTTTTACTTAGAAGCACAATTTTGAATTATTTAAACCATAGCGGCTTATACCTTTAAATCCTGACCACGAATTCTTTCATTATAAAGGCAGACAGTAATTTACCAAAGTGGTTCTCTTGCTTATTTGTTTTACCAGTAGAAAAAGAAACAGTTATATGCCTTCTTGCCTTAAACCCACAATAAACCCAACATACTATTCTATGCCCTTTATGAAAACAATTCTACGAACACCTGTTAGTATAATCTACTTTTAGTGGATAACTATTATTTAAAAACAACTAGGTTATTAAAAATTAGTGAGTACTTAAAAAAATGAATATATACTGTTCCATATACTATATGTGGCGCTATTAATAAAAAAAAGAATTAAATTTCAAAATTACAAGAGCTAAATTTTAAAGAAAAGGGCTTGTACAGCAGTTATACGTTAACGGTACGTTAAGAAGCTTTAAAAAAAAAGTTGCTCGTCGCCAAAAGGCGAATCCTTTCTCTCCATTGCTGTCAGGTATATCCCTGAAAATACACATCACGTCTTTACTAATTTAAAAGTTTCATAAAGTGTCATATAATTCCAAAATTTGAAGACGATAACAAAAACAAGCGTAACCCGAAACACTTATATTATTGAAATAATTTGAGCGGATAACAGGAAGGTAACTAAACTAGTAAAAGACGTCTAATTTTAGTAAGGTAATAGACGGATCTCAAATACTCCTCTAGACATTAAGTGCTAGTCAATAAGTTACTCTGGTATACAGATTAAATAGGTAAGGCCTCACAGAAAGTTTAATAACATACAGTTGATTTATTTTTATAATTGTAAGAAGTTATCAAAATCTTCAAGTCTATTGTAAGTTATAGGCCCTTGATAGAGCTTCTTCTGTAAAAACTTCAAGTCAGCCATTGATAAGTGGCTACCATTCTCAACTTTTGACGGCAAACAAAAGACAAGTGAAAAGGAAACTGTAAACGCGAGGAACCACAAATTCGCAGGGGCCATGGAGGACAACCAACCTAGTTAAAAAAAGGTTCGAGAGTGGGGTGAAGCCTTATATAGATTTTTGCTATGCCAGGAAAGCACAGGGAACCTTATCTGAGCTTTATCTAATAATCTGCCCGCGATTAGGTGCTAGAGGGAGACGAACACAAGGTTGTAAAACCTTTCAGCCTTGCAGCAGTTAAGGGCTCGAGCTCTTCTGTAGTATTATTTAATTATTATAAATGTCAATCTAAATGCGGTAACACAATCACACAGTACACAAAAACACCTAAGACACAGTTTAAAACACAACTCTAAAAACAAAATATTGAAAACACAGAACCTAAACCCCCTAAATTTTCGCTGGGAAATGATACCTGAGAAACAGTTTAACAAACATTTAGTCAAATATTTGGTAGCTTTTCCATATAACAAAGAACAATCATAAACGCAACCTCATTTGTTTTTTCAAGAAAGGAAAAGTTTAATTCTAATTCGGGCACCCTCCTTAAGAGAAAAATTTAAATTGAATTTAAAATGATTGGCTCAGATTTCCCGAAATTGTCCGAAGAAGTACTATATATATAGAGCACGAATGTCGCTATTCTAATAAGCGTTATTCGAGTTTGCTAAATTTTGCT